TAAATCACCAGCTCCCTCCGGTTGCCAAGCATCAGGTTCCTCTGCGCGCCTAGATACACGCCCCCATTTCTTCCGACCCGGTCACTATTTGGTTCGGTCCAAGACTTGGAACCCAGGAGTTTGGACTCGTAATGGTCCAATAGGTGGCTGTTGGGTGGCGTGGTGGGCATTGGCTCAAGCATGAAATACAGCCCGGCGGCCACCTCATCCTCAGCTTTCAGCCTTTGCACCGCGTCATGGAACCTTTGCCAGTGGTGCGGTATGTAGACACCGTCGCCTTCCAGATCATCGTAGCCGTTATCCACGATGGACTCCACATACTGAGAGAGCCAGGGCTCCCCCTCTTGACAGCAGAGAGAAAAATGTAAGTTTTAAAGTTAATTTCCTGCAATTTTGTTATGGGGCATAGTGAATTTTTTGCACATTTAATGCAATTCTACTCATTTTGCCATGGGGCAGAGATACATTTTTGCAGTTTTAAAGCTAATTTGCAGAAATTCTTCCCATTTTGCCATGGGGTGGAGAGAAATAATCTTTGCAGTTTTAAAGCAAATTTCTTGCAATTCTACACATGACTTATGCCATGTTAATGATATCAGAGCAAGAGTGACTAACCAAATCAATGGAGGTCAGGGCCCCTGGGTACATGCCCTGCTTGTCCAGTTGGTCATTCTGCCATGATTACTACACCTTTAGATAACTGACTAGACTAACTTAGCAATCTAAAAATTGTCAGCTGACATGGCTAATTGATTGACAGTCAGTGACTGACAAAACAAGAGAAAAACTGCTGATGCACAACCAAATTTCGAACTTGCACCTTCTACTTCTATTCTAATGCCACAGTAAGTTGAGACCGGACTGAGTTCCTAAACTACACTTCTAGTGGCCAGGGGCCCCCTAGTGGCCAGCAGCCCTAAATGACCGCTTATGCCTGGAGCCAGCCCTGGAGAGAGCTTGAGGGTCTTCAGCCATTCAAACACAATGCCGGGTCCACCGGTAGTCATTTTGGGGAGCAAAAATAAGAAAAATGTAAAGGAAAAAGGTTCACAGCATGTTACCACCCATACACAAAAAATGTTTTTATGCACGCATGACTGTAAGTCGCTTTGGATAAAAGCGTCTGCTAAATGGCATATTATTATTATTATTATTATTACTGTTTTCCCTCAACCTAAGTATTCAGTAAATAACCAGATAAACACTATAGTGAGTAATTTAGCTTTATACTAATGAAATTCCCGATAGACGTAGCATGCTCATCATCTAGCGCCATATTCAATGACCAAACGTATCTTTCACACATACTTAAAGTGTTACAGGAAAGTCCCCAGTATCCCCACTACTATGAATAGTCCCCAGCCCCATACCAATGCTCTTGTGTCCTAGTGGCCCTGTCTGGATTCCACTCAAATGAATGGAACTGATTTGTGAGTGTTTGCTGCCATCTAGTGAAAAAGGATTGATTTATCACTAACTGAGTCGATCTGGGACTTGACCTTGATGAGATCATCCTGATGCTCAGCTTTTACCCTCAAACTACATGATACTTTCGGAGGCACCCACTTTTAGATATCCCAGATGTTATATCAATGCTGTATGACTATAGCTTCGGCCTCAAGTCAGTACTGTAACCAATTATTCTGTGTTAATACTGACTTATTTGATCAATAACTGGGTGAAAGGAGCAGCACCTCCCTGCAAAAGATGACACAATGCATTCACCTTAGTCTTCATGAAGAAACATGGAGAATAAACCAGCACCAAAGATATACATGTTTTACACTTTTATTTTCCATTGCACAGTAATTTCTATCTACAGAATTATTTCTAAATTGTTTGTGGCAGCAGATAAAGTCATAAACATCCATGTGAAATTTGCATAAAACTGTACAAGAAAATTGGCTACAATGAGAAAATACTGCAACCCACTGATAATTGTTAAATCCAGGACAGAAATGGCATTATGGCGGACAGACTCCCTCTTGTGAGTATGAATCATACCAGGTAAGAAGAATACTGCATACTGAGTGTGTGGGCAAGAAACAACTCACTCAAAGACAAGAGAAAACTCATCGAAAATCAGAAAAAGAAAAGAGATCTAGAATTAACAGGAAGGACCTTAATCATAGACTCTTTTTTTTTCTTCTTTTTTTTTCTCCTTGGAAGATTGAAGCAGGGCTACCTATCAACATCCACACAACAGTGCATACTAGAACACAGAGAAGGAGACCAAACCTGTAAGTTAGTATCTCCAAAATGAGCCACTTGGAACTGTTACCAGAGTAGAAGGAGAATGCATTAGAAGACAAGCAAGGGAGATTTGAAGCATGATGTGTGCAGACTGAGACACTGAACATGCGAGGCCGGTCTATGATGGAGCCACATTACACAGAGGTTGCAGACTTCCTCTCGTTACTGTGGTTACTATGTTGTTTCTTTTCTTTTCTTCCAATATTTTCTTGGTGATTTTCCACAATTGATTTGACACAGATTGATTGGTCACCAAAATCAAGCATTTTGAGACAAGAAAACAAGACATTATCGATCATACAGCACAAAAAATGTCAAAGACCACAAAGTTGAACATTTAAGATACTGTGCTGGTCAGAGCAACAGTGGAATGGTCCTATGGTCCTTTCAGGAGAGTATGCAGGCTGCTTAGACGTTAGCCAAATGCCACTTTAGAACTTTTATGATGGGCACAATGTTGTGAATACAATGGTTGTTCCATTCTGAAAACTTGCTACCCTCACTAATAATAATAATTTGTTGGGTGCTTATATTTGTCCTATTTCAGTGTGTATTAATACGCATGTGTGAATTGGAAATGTTAGTTTTTTTTGCATATCCCACTCTCCTTGAGACACCCTCGGAGAGTGGGGTCACGGCCAGGGAACCTAGCCCAGTGACCGAGTCATAATGCACAGTTCCCAAGGCCCCATATAGACCTATGCCTATTGTATTTCAATTAGTGAAACTTCTGGAATGCCAAGTTGAGTAATAGAACAATGAAACGAAAGCTAAAATAACTCTTTGGCGTCATAAAAAATATGGCAGCTGTCCTTGTGTCGCTTGCTTGAACAACACCCAACACTTTCCAATTGGTCTTAGATTGTCAATCTATTTACCTATTTACAACAGAACGGTAGAGAAGCCTGGTAGAACATTGGAGGAGACACAAATGAGAGTTTTCACCACTGAGATGGGGATAGAAACAGATCTCTGAACAACAGACGCTTTCGACACACCACACATATAGCAGCGTCTCTTACATTTAAATAAATAAAATGTGAATAAACAGACCACTCAAACTGAAAAAATTATTTTACGGACAATTCTCAAGGAAAACTAAAAAAGTTTCCGTCTTCAAAAACATATGACTTTTGGTGAACGTACATACTGTATATATAGTCCTGCATATTTGAACACAAACAAATAGGTTTCATTACCATGTGTTTATAGTAATCTCCAAGTTCACGTGCACTTCAGGATCACATGTCCATAGAGTATATTTACTCCTGAAAATCAATCCAATAGGTCTGGATAGACCAGCAGTGTATAGGCCTACTGTAACACTGACATATTTCATACAGAGTCACTAACAAGCCCAAACTGTAGCAGATGTTAATGGCATGATGAGATCAGGGAGGAAGGTAGCATTTACATGTCAAATAAAACACTTCAGGGAGAGAGGGAGACAGTGACAGTCTAGCCTCTAGATTTCTGATGTGTGTGTGTGACACCTGATATGAAACATTATTGATGGTGACGTGTACTGATCTGAATGATAAATCTATGTATTTTATAACCATGACCTCTTTTTGAATCCAGCCCTTTTTATAAGGATAGCTTTATGGGAGTTTGACAAAGCCACAAAGCATACTGGCAACATTACCAAATAAAAATATGTAATCATTCACAATGTTCACGACAGTTAAGAAAAAGAAAAACTGATTTAAAATAACAGAATGAGCATAAAACAAACAATAAACTAGAAGAGATCAATTAAAGGTAGAGTCAGCGAAATTACGTTGCACGAGCAGCACCGCAGCAATGGCAATGAGCAAGATACAAGACTTCACTTTCACATAATCACACACAGTATCTGCACCTTTGCACGGGTTCGCTTTGCGCTCTTATAGCGTGGTAGCCACGGGACCAAAACAGCTGAGAAGTTTAGCATCGTGCTCCAACGCTCTTAGTTGTTGCAGAAATTGACCCACTATGCTGTTTACTTTGTGCATCTACATCATATCGCTGACTCTATCTTTAAAACATGTATAATATAGTTGGGAACGATATGAAAACAGTGAATCCATATGATGAGGAGAGTCTATTTGGAGCAAGGAGAGGGGATCCAGTGTACATTGGAATTACTAGTTTTTTTTTCCTGCAACTATGACATCACCTCCTGTGACTTTGAGTAGAGCTTCCTTTGCCCCTCACACCACCAGTCTGTCTCCACCTGTAAAGTTGTCCTCTTGTTGTTTTGCACTTGACAGTAGGAAGTGAATACAGCGTTGATCATTTATATAGATTAATGTATATATAATTATGTATATTTATTCTTTTTTTCCTCTTTTTACATTTAGATTTTTTTTGTAGTTGTTGTTTCTTCATTGTTTCTTTTTTTCTCTCAGTTGTGTCTGATTTTGTCTGTTAGTATACTGGATTGGTTGGAGCAGAGACGATGGCACAAAACATTTTGCCGAATGAGGATGGGGGAACCCCAGAGCTCCAGCCAATCGGCAGGTCACAGAGGGGAAAAACAAACGATAACAAAAAAGAGAACTCCTCTTTTCTCTCCAGTCCGTTCCTCAGTTGAAACCTTATGACTGAGGTATATACAGTATACAACATTGTGCTAGGAAAGAGTATCCCACGTGTCCAGCGGAGGAAGGAGAGATGGAAGGAGGGATGGATGGAGAGATGGAGGAGGGGGGCATATAGAGTCCGGATGAAGCTGTGTCCCTTTGGCTCTGCTCCCCCCTCTCAGATCAGAACTGGTACCACTTCTTGTCTTTACACTTCAGCATCATCTGTGAAGAGAGGGGAAAATGGAACACTAGTGTTACAGAAAACTCACCATTGTCTCCCTCTAACGGGCTATTCCTGACACTAACAATTGTGCGTTATTAAACAGTAGTAGTAGGCCTACAAGCAGCCTCTTCTAGCAGGACAGGATAAAGTTGCTCCTAGACACTGATTTAAGGTTTGTTTTGTTAATTAATACAATGAGGAATTGGCATGCTCAGCTCAAAAGTTTGTGGTAACAAAAAGTATTTGGGTGCAGGGTTCAAAAGCCATACACTGGAAGAAAGGAAAATCCTGCACTCGCTGAAATATTCTTTACTTTTTATTGTCAGCGTTTGTCAGCGTGTCGACGGCAGCCTTCGCCAGCGTTTGAATGCTGACGAAAGCTGTTTGCTCTGACCGCGTCCATTTGCTCTGACCTCTGCTGCTAAAAAAACAAACATTAAAACTTAAGAATATTTCAGTGAGTGTGGGTTTGTTCTTTTTTCCAGTGTAGCCTCATAATATAACAACTTCCTACAGGATGAAGTTGCCCCTAGACACTGATCTCAGGATCAGTTTTAATGTTTTGTATCATAATGTAACATCTCTTTCTCTTACGTCGTGGGCGTGTTTTCCAAAGGAGTCGGCGCTGGCCAACATGGCGGCCGTCCTCTCGTCCAGCTCGCCCAGTTTCTGCCCTCTCTCGTCCAGCGCTATCCGTGCACGCGCCAGGTCCGCCACCACGCCCGAAGCGGCCCCTTTCATGCCCTCCAGGCCCTGAGGACCTGGGATGTGCTGGGCAAGGCCACGGGACGCCTTACCCGCCTGTGTCTCACCAACTAGAGGAGAGGGGGAGAGGGAGAGTCAGTAAGACAAAGAGAGGAAGAAAGAGTGGGCGAGAATGAGATTGAGGGGGAAGGAGAAAGGGAGAGCCTTCTAATGTAGCAAACTTAACACTGAATATATAAATAATAGAGTTTCTCTGTGCTGTGTACACTATAGTATGTGTGTGTTACATTCCACGTGTGTCACTCACATAGTTCCTCTCTGTCCAGGGAAGTTGCTCCTCCCCCAAAAAGGCCTTTGAAAAATCCTCGGTTGGGAGCCTCCGGGGTTTCCACTGGTGTGAACAGTTCTCCAAGCATCTCCTGAAACACACATACACACATTAATGCAGTTGTATTACGTGTGTGTGTGTGTGTGTATTTATGTGGTCCTGACCTGCAGGTTCTCGCAGGTCTCCTGGCTGTATGTGATCCTCTGTATCTCAGTGGGGGAGGTGAGGTACATGGCCTGGCCCAGGTTGGTGAAGCAGAAGGTCCGGGCTATCCGCATGTCTGTCAGCGGCAGGTAGTTTACATCTAGCAACGGTCTCAGCCCCGGCAGACTGCAGACAGACAGAGAGAGAGACCACATACAACACAATATTACTCAAACACAACATCATTCTACTGAGCGAGTCTTCATGTAGAAACTTTGAGTCTAACCCTAGCATTCATTAAGCTCTTTATTGTAATATAGGGTTTATCAGTTAGCTTTAGCATATATATCTATTTTACCAGTGTGTGTGTTGTGTTTGTGTGTGTGTGTGTGTGTGATTGTTTGTATGGCTCACTGACTAACCTGAGGGTCATGATGTGTCCGTTAGCACAGAAGCAAGCCACACAGTTCCCTATGTTCATCTGGACCACGTCAGCCCTCAGGACGAACGATGTCTCTGTGATGCTGTGTTTGAAGATGCAGTTCTGTGAGGGCAGTGCTATGACCTTAGCCTGTTTCTCAGAGCACACCACCGCATACTGGCTCTCCTGCAGCTCCTGGGAGGTGGAGGGCGACACAGAGACCGGGCGGCGTTTACGGGCCTTGTCTCGCTCCTCACTGTCGGCGCCTGCGGCGTTGGGCTCGTACCAGGTCTCAGAGGCAGGGGGGAGGAAGGTTCCTGTGTTGTCCAGGAAGGCCATCCTCAGGATACTGCCCTTCAGACGCGCCAGGGTACCTGGACAGATAAGAGGGATGGAGTGCGTTGAAAATATATCTACAGTGCATTCGGAAAGTATTCAAACCCCAACAGCCTTATTCTAAAATGGATTAAATAAAAACATTTCCTCATCAATCTACACACAATACCCCATAATGACAAAGCAAAAAGAGGTTTTTAGAAATGTTTGCAAAAATAAAAAAACATTTACATTAGTATTCAGAACCTTTGCTATGAGACTCGAAATTGAGCTCAGGTGCATCCTGTTTCCATTGATCATCCTTGAGATGTTTCTACAACTTGATTGGAGTCCACCTGTGGTAAATGTAATTGATTGGACATGATTTGCAAAGGCCCACACCTGTCTATATAAGGTCGACCAGTTGACAGTGCATGTCAGAGAAAAAACCAAGCCATGAGGTGGAAGGAATTTGCCGTAGAGCTCTGAGACAGGATTGTGTCGAGGCACAGGTCTTGGGAAGGGTACCAAAAAATGTCTGCAGCATTGAAGGTCCCCAAGAACACAGTGGCCTCCATCATTCTTAAATGGAAGACGTTTGGAACCACCAAGACTCTTCCTAGAGCTGGCCGCCCGGCCAAACTGAGCAATCGGGGGAGAAGGGCCTTGGTCAAGGAGGTGACCAAGAACCCGATGGTCACTCTGACAGAGCTTTAGAGTTCCTCTGTGGAGATAGGAGAACCTTCCAGAAGGACAACCATCTCTGCAGCACTCCACCAATCAAGCCTTTATAGTAGAGTGTCCATATGGAAGAGTTTGCCAAAAGGCACCTAAAGGACTCTCAGACCATGAGAAACAAGATTCTCTGGTCTGATAAAACCAAGATTGAACTCTTTGGCCTGAATGCAAAGCATCAAGTCTGGAGGAAACCTTGTACCATCCCTACGGTAAAGCATGGTGGTGGCAGCATCATGCTGTGGGGATGTTTTTCAGCGGCAGGGACTGGGAGACTAGTCAGGATCGAGGGAAAGATAAACAGAGCAAAGTACAGAGAGATCCTTGATGAAAACCTGCTCCAGAGCGCTCAGGACCCCAGACTGGGGCGAAGGTTCACCGTCTAACAAGACAACGACCATAAGCACACAGCCAAGACAATGCAGGAGTGGCTCTGGACAAGTCTCTGAATGTCCTTGAGTGGCCCAGCCAGAGCCCGGACTTGAACCCGATCGAACATCACTGGAGAGACCTGAAAATAGCTGTGCAGCGACGCTCCCCATCCAACCTGACAGAGCTTGAGAGGATCTGCAGAGAAGAATGGGAGAAACTCCCCAAATACAGGTGTGCCAAGCTTGTAGCGTCATACCAAAGAAGACTCAAGGCTGTAATCACTGCCAAAGGTGCTTTAACAAAGTACTGAGTAAAGGGTCTGAATACTTATGTAAACGTGTTATTTCAGTAGTTAAAAAAAATAAATGGGGTACTGTGTGTATATTGATGAGGAAAAAAACGATTTAATCAGTTTTAGAATAAGGCTTTCACGTAACAAAATGTGGAAAAAGTCAAGGGGTCTGAATACTTTCCAAATGCACTGTATGTATAATCAATGTTTCGGTATGTACAAATGTCGATTATGTGTAGAGCGGGATGTAATGTACGTACGGAAACATGCAAACATATAGCAAAGAGTTGTTAGCATGCCTTACATATTCATTAACATACTCACACAATCACACACACCCATCCATTCACCCATAACCCAGACACCCACCGCTAGGCAAGACGATAACGGGGTGCAGCAGCCTCTGTTCCCCAGCAGGGGGCAGGTTGAGGGCCACAGCCAGCACTGTTCCCAGGGAGGTGCCCACGTACAGGCAGGGTGTGATGGCGCTTTCCCCCTTCCGGGCGAATGTCTCACAGAAGTGGAAGGAGGTGATGGCCTCGCGCGCCTCCTTGTCGATGGACGTGACGGAGGAGGAGCGTGAACGGCTGAAGGAGTTATCCCGGTGGTCTAATGGGTTGGCGCCCCGTGGAGGACATACAGACAGGAGGACAGTAGAGGAGAGGACAGAGAGGTAAAGAGCCCACACACACAGAGAGAACACACTATACACAAACACACTACATGAATACTGTGAACAACAGCTGTATGATTGGTGGGAGCAGTTGGATTCTGACAAACAGCATTGCGGTTGAAATTTTATTGTATCACTAAGCTAAAATAGCAATTACACAGGAGCAGAAAACAGTGAGCAGACGTTCATTTTAAACAGGTCTAAAACACCTTGTGAAATGTTGAGTAAAATAGATTATTCCAGCTGTAAAATAACTTGATCTGTTGATAACCAGATGTACTGTATCTTTTGAAAGTAGAGGGAACGGTGGGGAAAACGTTTCTCCTTACATGGCAAACTAAGAGTTAGAGGTCCAGGTGCATGGGTAATGACAAATAGAAATAGAATAGGACCTGTTTGTTTTTATCTGTGGAGCAGATGGAACTCATAAAATGAATAGTTGGACGTTGGCAGCAGAAGAGTTGGCATGTAGGAAAAAGACCCATGGGAAGATTTCACTAAAACTTTACAACCTTGTACTTATTTTATTCATCAGTAAAAAAACATCATAATCTCAAACCAGATGTCAATATAATAAGCTAATTCAGTTTTATAAGTTGCCTGTGAGTTGCTGGGATGATGAATAAACAAATGTTTATAAACTGTGTATATATCACAAACAACACAGTTGTTATACACTGAGTGTACAAAACATTAGGAACACCTTCCTAATATTGAGTTGCCCCCCTTTTGCCCTCAGAACTGCCTCAATTCGTTGGGGCATGGACACTACAAGGTGACGAAAGCTTCCTCAGGGATGCTGGCCCATGTTGACTTTAATGCTTCCCACAGTTATGTCAAGTTGGCTGGATGTCCTTTTGGTGGTTGACCATTCTTGATACACACGGGAAACTGTTGAGCGTGAAAAACCCAGCAGCGTTGCAGTTCTTGACACACTCAAACCGGTGCACCTGGCACCTACTACCATACCCTGTTCAAAGGCACTAAATATTTTGTCTTGCCCATTCGCCCTCTGAATGGCACACATACACAATCCGTGTCTCAATTGTCTCAAGGCTTAAAAATCCTTCTTTAACCTCCCCTTCATCTACACCGATTGAAGTAAATTTGACAGGTGACATCAATAAGGGATCATAGCTTTCACCTGGATTCACCTGGTTAGTCTATGACATGGAAAGTGCAGGTGTTCCTACTGTTTTGTACACTCAGCGTATGTCACAACACTGTTTATAACAGAACAAGTTAGTGTGTTATATGTCGACACCTCCAATAATCTTTTACCAGACTATCATATCTTTGCATTTGACAGATTTGGCATATTCAATAAGGATCTGACCCCAAACCCCTCTCTTTCCCATCTTTGGGGTTCTGCCCTTTGGGGTCCTAGGAAGGAAATTGTGATTTTCGTTTTGGGTAAACTGTGCAGATCAAAAAAAATTAAGAACAATGTTTCTTTCTGTAGTTATATCTGTCGGATTGCTACAAGAAAAACGTTTGAACTTTTGGAAAGGACCAATCACAAAAGAAACAGGTAGAGAAACAGAAAATAGGAATAGAAAGCTTCAGAACACACATATACACAGAAAGCTCTATTGTGCAACAGAGTCCTGGTTAGTTTAGCGTAGCAGTTTGTAAAATACCCAACACAAATGTACTGTATGTCTGTCTCCTCCACCTCTTGTCTCCAGGTTTGTCTCAAGAAGTAGCAGACACTGACAAATGATTACCATCAGTTAGTCTGACTGCATTTTTTAGGAAATCTATAGGATGTATCTATGCTTTTGGTAGTCATGAGTCCATCAACAGGGCTCTTTGCCACCGCTAGGGCATTATACGTATACTAAAATTGTACAGAAAATTACATAAGCTTCTATTAAATGGATAGTAACTATGGAACTCACATTACTCCCTTGAAATGCTCATATCGGGAGACCATTTGGACTTAAGGACTACAGTGAAGTCCAGTTTTGGGATAAAAAAATTATTAAGAAACGCAAAATGTTAACACGAAGTTAAGGCTTACCCAAGTCTGGCTTTAGCTCAGTAGGCAAGCTTAATTTCCGTGACATCTTTGCTGGAAAAAAGAGAACACCCCTCTTTACAAACACACACCTAAGCTAACACGACAGGCCATGCAAAGCTAGCTAGGAGCTAGGAGTTAGGAGCTAGGACTGGGATGTGCTTGTGCTTATAGCATTACTACACACATAAGCTTTGGTACAACTGTTGGAGTTTGCTTCATTCTGGTTCAGGGGAGGCAAAATGCTTTAGAATTAAACAAGAAGTATTAGGGTATCAGAGGAAGACAACCCTGTTGAATCACAGAGGCATGCTGGGACAGACAAAATAACAACAAGGAAGTAAGCTGTCGTACGTTGCACACAAAGTGCCCTGGAAGAGAGGAATAGTAAGAAGACACACATTCATTCAGAACCCCCATGCCACAGGAGCATGCACCAAAGGAAGGAAACAGGAAGTGAGAAGGATGGAAGAAGACAGTGGAATGACAGTACAGTACAAGCAGAGAATATGTATCTCTGGTAGGGCCTACAAGGCACTTTTAGCTAGGTAGTCAGAACTATGTTAACTTTTGGAGCCTCATGAGGTTTTGGTTTTGAAATATTTGACTAGCCTTACAGTCCATTTATATTATTTATTAACTAATGTTAGAGATGCCTTGCACATAAATCAAAGATTCCTTAAAATAATTTGTCTTGTAAGAAAATAACACATTTCTTAAACTGCCCATTTCCCCTAAATCTATGAGGTAGAGAATGACATGTTCTGAATATGTTCTGAATATAAACCAAGCCGCAAAGTCAACGGTGTCAGACAGACAGAAGACAGAGTTAGGAAAGTACAGAGTGACTACAAATAGACTGCTGTGATGTCAGAACTACAGACAGCCAATCAGGAGCCGGAGTGAAGGTGGGACAATCTTTGAAGGACAATTGCCACAGGCACATTTCACAATGTGACATACGTGCTACAAACATGTAGCATGCAATGGAGGTCTAGGGTATACCATTATAAGTTTGTGTCTGTGTGGGTATAAGATTTTATTGAAGGTTTGTTCTAGGCCAAACAGTGATTCAGTGCCACTGAGGTGAAAACAGAGACAGGTTGCTACAATAAAACAGTGGCTGACATTTTATCTTATACAGTATACTATCCCTGCCAAAACTACTCCAGGGTTGAAGTCTTTGGCCACTCTTACCTCCTCTACCCCCACCTCCATTGTAGAATTGCTGATGGTTTGACGCCAACACTTTTGGGAGGAAGTAGATAGACGTGCAGTTAGAAACATCCTGGTACTTTACCATACCGCCTACCAATCACTGTTCCCCGAAATGTGTCCATTTGTGAAAGGACTGTTTTTCTACTTTTTATGATTGCAACACGAGAACCAATTAGTAGCAGTTTGCCTCAATCTTAATTTTCAACTACCTGGGCGCATGCAGAATATTTGTTGACATAGTGTACATTTTTGCTCAGATTAATTATTTTCCTAGCGGCACAAAGCTTTAAAGCCTTGTTGACTCCCGACGATTTTAGAATCTCAATTAGTAGACATATGCTCAAGTCTAGACTGGAGACCAGATACGCCATCCTCGTAAATAGCAGATGAACTGAGGCAGTGTCTAGCTAGTGACACCAGACACTGGGGTTTGGCATAGTTGGCTGAACACCTGGAACATAGCTAGCAGTGTGACTTCAGTCTCTGGGCTACTTATATTTTCTGTGTGACCTTTTAAAATGCAACTCAGCTCTGTGTTTTAGCCCCAGTGTCTGTGTGTTAATGTCAAGCTCTCAGTAATGAGATGGAACCGGGTTGTTCTCTAATTAGCATGCCTCGTCACCTCAAATGCTAATTTAGCGAACCGAGAATAGTCGTGCAGGACAGGGCCATCGAGGAAGCACCTTGTCTTGACAGTAACTGTGGAAGGGACTAGAACGTTTTGTTTGTGCAAATCTGAAAATTGCAGATGTTTGGATTAAGTTGTGTGAAAAGTGTTATTGTTTGTTGTTTACCTATATGTGACCATATACTGTAGTAATACAAACATATTTAGGTTGGATAACAATCTATAATTGAATATGCATCTCCTAGCTACATGATCAGATCTCACTTGGAACTCACATGGAAGTTTGCAGTTTCATTTAATTCCTAGATGTGAAAATGACCCCGCATGATATGAGTAAAACCCACTGGAAAGGAAACCACTACATCCTGTCCTATAAAAGTCAAAACGAGGTCTGGAAGACTCCGACAAAATCAATAGACAGAAAACAAAATTATATGTGGGCAAATCGTAGGATCATAAAAAAAGCCTTTTCCTAATTTTAATGAGATCAGTGAATAAGTCCAAGATTTGGGAAGGTCCATATGAACTAACCCTCCTTATAAACTAATGTCCTATTTGGTGGGAATCAATACATTTATGTCTTGGACTGACTACAGAGTACTTATTCACTGATTCAGGAGTTTTATGGTCCTAAACTGTCTAGTTAATGCCGAATCATGGTGTCATCTCCGCGGTTTACTGCTAATGTCTCAGGTTTTGATAAAACATATTAAAACTGCCAAAATCAATTTAATGTATTCTTTATTCTTCTTTCTGTTTTATTAAAAGTATATTTTATTCCTTGAAAGCAGGGGAGTGAAGTGTCAGTACACAACTGAGACCTGTAAAAACATGTTTTATTTAAACCCAAAACCCTCCAGTTGTAAACTTGACCCTTCAATAAAGTCTGTGTGAAATCAAACTTTCAGAGACAGAGAACTGTAGCACTTCTGGTTTTCAAGAAAAAGGTTCCCACATCCAAAGGTGTGAGTGTGACATCTCAGAGAGAACCATATTTACCAATAGCAACCAAATTGTTCTCATGCATTCTAATAAAATTGCAAGATGTGCTGTTTTCTAGCATGGATTCATAATATTCAGGTTAGGTCAATATACGGTCTTCAAGTGAATCATGCTTATTTATGAGTCCCTTTACCCACAACAACCCACCTGTTACTAAACAAGTTATTCTGGGTTCAGTGGGTGTTCTAACTGATGTGGATACAGATGTAGGATCTTATTTTGAGTCAGTTTGCTATAGCAGGAAAATAATCCTGCAGCAACAGGAAATGTGAATTATTATGTGGATTATAATTAATGGACATTTTTGTAGAGGTTGATACATTTTTCGTAAGGGAAAATCAAATCTAAAATGTCAAAGTGGAAATTACAAACTTCAGAAGTCTTTTTAAACCACCAATAAACTACAAGTTTAACATTTCCTGCAACAGGGTGATCCAATTAAGATCCTACATCTGTACCAGTGTAATGCTAACTCTAACATGCTGAAAGACAGTTTACCTGAAGTGGGGGATTTGCAGCGGTCCTCCGAGGCAGAACCCTCGTTGATGTCACACAGACCTACAGCAGAAGAGACAGACATTGCACGACATTAGATATCATTAACTGCAGATTTCATCTACTCTGTCCTTTTCTCCTTTCTGTTTGATAAGGATGTTATGATATGTAGGTTTAATTTGGGTATACCACCATTTTCCCTGTCTGCCAAAGAGATGAAGCAGACCCGAGCAGAAACAGACTAAACAGACTGCTATCCAAGCCATTACCCTTATGCTCTGCCATTGCCCCAACCTCCCCATACATAGAGACAGAAGGCCTGGACCCAGACAGACACAGACACAGACAGACTCCAGTCCTCTGGGTAGGACGGACGGACGGACAGATGGACAGACAGACAGCACCAGACAGACAGACAGGCCCAGACAGACAGAGACTCAGCCCCACTGCCCCAGACAGACTCCAGTACTTTGGGTAGGACAGACATACAAACTCATCCTGCGCACGACTCCAACACCATCATTAAGTTTGCCGACGACACGACGGTGGTAGGCCTGATCACCGACAATGATGAGACAGCCTATAGGCAGGTGGTCAGATACCTGGCAGCGTGGTGCCAGGACAACAACCTCTCCCTTAATGTCAACAAGACAAAAAGGAGCTGATCGTGGACTACGGGAAACGGAGGGCCGAGCACGCTCCGATTCACATCGACGGGGCTGTAGTGGAGCGGGTCGAGAGCTTCAAGTTCCTCGGTGTCCACATCACTAAGGATTAATCATGGTCCACACACACCAACACAGTCGTGAAGAGGGTACGACAACGCCTCTTCCCCCTCAGGAGGCTGAAAAGATTTGGCATGGGTCCTCAGATCCTCAAAAAGTTATACAGCTGCACCATTGAGAGCATCTTGACTGGCTGCATCACCGCTTGGTATGGCAACTGCATGGCATCCGACCGCAAGGCGCTACAGAGGGTAGTGCGTATGGCCCAGTACATCACTGGGGCCAAGCTTCCTGCCATCCAGGACCTCTATACCAGGCGGTGTCAGAGGAAGGCCCTGCACATCGACTCGGTACTGGTACCCTGTGTATATAGCCAAGTTATCGATACTCATTGTGTATTAATTATTGATTTTATTACGTGTTTTATTTTTCTATTATTTCTCTATTTTCTTTCTCTCTGCATTGTTGGGAAGGGCCTGTAAATAAGTATTTCACTGTTAGTCTACACCTGTTGTTTACAAATTATGTGACAAATTAAATTTGAATTAATTTGATTTGAGAAGTCATTAGTCCTCTGACTCCCCACACTCTGACAGGTGCCAGCCCACCACTAACCCCCCCCCCCCCCCACACACACACACACACACACACACACACACACACACACACACACACCTAATTTTCCTCACCAAGCTGTTGCTAAGCCACGCAGGTTACAGTCATTACACCACAGTGGTTATTGCATTTATTTGGTTATATTGGAGACTGTAGTACCGTCATCAAACAACGGGTGGCAGTATGTCATAATGCAGTGATGCTGCGGTCTGTCAATAACACCACAGTGCTGCAGTGACAGGGTATGTGTAGGAGAGATGGCTATTTGTGTGTCAGTGTGTGTGCCAGCCAGCCACCACAGAGAGAAGATGACGTACTGAATAGTCAAAATAACTATTTAGTTACCATTCAAAATCCTTTCAAGGAATTGCAAAGATACAGAGATGGAGGAGAGGAGACAGAGAACCTCATACAACCTTGTCACCACCATTGCTTTTTTTGACTGCCTACATGTGCATGTGATACAGCCTGAACAGTCTGCAAGCACATCTACCAAACATACCCCTCATACCTGTAACATCGTACAAGACTACGTAAGCCTATATCTACATACCAGAAAGTATTAGTATTATTAAGATGACATAAGTCACATCTAGTATTAAACTACAAAAGACCAGGTACTGTAAGGCCATATATAGTACAAACCACAGGAGGTTGATGGCACCTTAATTGGGGTAATGTGGTAATGGCTGGAGCGGAATTAGTGGAATGGTATCAAATACATCAAACGTGTTGGTTTCCATGTGTTTGATGCCATTCCATTTGCTCCGTTCCAGACATTATTATGAGCTGTCCTCCCCTCAGCAGCCTCCTGTGGTACAAACCTAAATAAGGCTATCTGTGTGGCGGTAAATCAGTGAAATGGTAAAGGTCTTTACCATTACCTCCGGATGGCTGGCGTGTCTTGCGTGGAGAGCGAGGCTGTCTCTGGTAGGGATCATTAGACCCATACAGCTCCACTGTCCCCAGGTTCAACAACACTGTCTTCTGGAGGTAGTCCATCACCGCCAGACCATTACTGTTCCCAAACACAATTCTGTTGGAGAGAGGAAGGGGAGAGAGGGAGGGAGAGATAGAGAGAAGTAGAGAGAGAGGGAGATATAAAAAGAGATATGAGATTAGGGTTTAGATTAAATATAGCTAGTTCTTCCAGAAAGCAAAGCAGCAGAAATCTCAGTCAGAATTTCCCTGCGGACATAAACCATGTAGACACGGCTTGATTCCATTCCAGCTCGGCTGTACGAGGGAAATCATATCAAATCCAGGGCTCACAACCACATTTTGACTCTTCGAAATGAGGTCTTGTTTCTCAAGTTGAGAAAAACATTATCGCTCCCTAAAATGATCTTACTTTCAAGTATCCTTGGTTGGTATGCACAGAGCTCCAGATTGAAGTGTCATATTGGGTTGTTTCATTAGGGTTTACGGTAAATCTCATATAGATATACTGTCTACCACCTTATACTTACAGGCCGTAGGAGGAGTTGAGGGCCAGGCTGGTGATCTGTTGGGGGGGCTCTCCACTTACCCACACCAGCTGCACCACCAACTCTACCTGGTACCCTGGAGACTGCTTCAGAGGGGTACTACGCACCCTACAGACAGAGAGGGAGAGAAAAAGACTGTTATTGTATTGAATAGCCTCAGAGAGATTGTGGGTGGGTTGTGCGTCCCTAAGGCACACTTTGTTGCAGAGTGTATGTGTGTGTAGCTACTCTATGTGAGCCGGTGGTGGTGTAGGATGCATACTTGAGGCAGGGTACGTTGTCTCGGACCCCGTCAGAGGAGTTGCTGCTGGTGGAGGGGTGTGTCGGGGGTCCGGTGGTCTGGGGGCTAGGTGAGGCTGTTCCTGGGGTGGGCAGGTCACGGTCCCCCCCTCCTCCCCCCTCTGGAGGGGACTCCATGTCATTCACCTCGTACTGCAGACGTACCTCCAACAGCTGGGAAACACACACACATTCCAGAAACTCAATAATGAGTTCAGAGGTTTTTTGTTGTTGCTTTCTGCCGTGGGAAGACTTTCCCTTTTTGAACTAGAAAGGTTTCCCAGCCTTCTTAGGTTTTGCAACCCTTTTTTTTTTTTTCCTTTTTCTGGGTTTTATTTTCCACAAGGCAAAAAGGAACCCGGGTTTTTTTGAGCCCTTCCTTCAGGCTACTTGACTGCACCCCAACCTCCTCTCCCACCCACACTCCACCCTCTACAGAGCTGTGACCCTGCATGTCAGATCCCCCCTCCCCAACACACAGGCCCCAAACCACCCGCACCCGCAGGCCCAAAGGGGCAGATGGGAGCCAAAGCACAGGCAAGTGACCTGTACAAGGGGAAAATATGGGAGAACCCAATTGGAATGGGAGGAGCGCCGGCCTGGTTCTCTCCCCCCCTCCCAAAAAAAAGGGGGTATCGCTGGATCTGGGAAAGATCTCTCTTCTCTCAATCTCCCCTCTCTCTCTCTTCCTTCCTTATCTCTCTTCCTTCTCTCTCTCTCTCTCTCTTCCTCTCTCTATCTCTTCCTCTCTCTCTTCTCTCCTCTCTCTCTCTCTCTCCTCTCTCTCTCTCTGAGATTGCCCTGTGAGAAGAGAAGCTAGACTACTATGAGATTCACTACAACTTAAACTCTGCTTTCAATCTCTCCACAGGTCACATACTTGATCTTGGTCAGACACAGATAATTATTTGCATTCCAATAACTCACATCACTCCACTACTCATCTCATCACTTCTCATAGCTACCACAAAATAATGATACAGGTCGTTTACCACTATGTATGTTGGCATGGCAACCATATTGTGTTCTTACTGGCTGGAGATTTATCTAATGAGGCATTGGGAGGTAAACACTGTCTCTAGGAACAGCCTTCAGGACCCAAGAAACACCACTGAACCAATAATGACTCTGCTCAGTATGGGTGAATCTAATTGTCTACAGGAGGCTATATTTACCACTGTCGTCATAGCATTTACCACTGTGTCTGTCGTCATGGCATCCATACTGCCAGGCTATAAGCATCAAGAGTAAATGGGAGTGTTTCTCAGTTTACACAATCCAACGATCCAACATGGTCAGTACAGAGAAATGTTGAACACACACACACGATGAAGACAGCTTGTCTGTCGAAACGTTGGTTATTAGGTTATTCAATTATTGCATCTGAGCTCCTAGATTGTGCAGCTCTCCTTTTCTTTTTCAAGTGTTCTACTCCGCTAGCCAGCACCTCCCCTAAAAAGGTGTGTGTTTCTTTCGCCTCCAAACACACACATCCACACATACACACACACGCCGACCCACCTGTACGACCTCGGTGGTGATCTCCTGCTTGCTGAAGCGGTATATGATGAGGTTGGCAGACACCCCGGCCACACACAGCATCCTGCTCTCAGGACACCAGGCCATGATCTGGATGGCATACGGGTCCTCATCCACAATCTCTGTGTTCTGCTTGTCCTCCTTATTAATCCTGCTCTTCTCAAACACCTTGGCCGTCTTCAGTTTGTACAGAACCTGGAGCATTACTGGGAAAAGATAGGAGATGGCTTAGTTACACACAAACACATTGGCAGACAGTATAGAGTAGGGAAACTGTGCTACATGTTGGCTCCATGTTGACTTCTGGTCAATCACTCTATAAGGCCATCTAGGCCAAGATATTACCCATAAAGAAGTCCATGTAAAGGCACTTACTTGCAGAAGCATCCCAAAACTTCACAGTCCCATCAGCATGCCTGTTAAATCATAAAGAGAAAGAGAGAAGACGGGTGAGAGAAGGAGAGAGGGTAGCGAAACAGAGAGGGAATAATTACGACTTCAGCTTTTTGCATACACACCCACATCTCTAATGATTCAGCTTGGCTCTACCTGTGATGATTGTCTAGATTCAGCTCTACAGAAGAATACATCCACATGAGAGGAGACACACCATAAACCTGTGTCTCAATGGTGCAATGCATTCTGGGATTGCCCTGTATAATCTCCACTTGGTGTCACTGGAGAAACTGCTTACTTTCCTCCAATCTCTCTCTTTTTTTCCTTCTTTTTTTTCAGCTGAACAGAGAGCGGGAGAGAGAGAGAGAGAGAGAGACGTGGGGAGAATACTAACACAGGGATGTCTGGAGGTGACGAGAGAGAGAGAGAGAGAGAGAGAGAGAGAGAGAGAGAGAGAGAGAGAGAGAGAGAGAGAGAGAGAGGGGGAGGAATGTAAAGAGACCCCTTCTGCCAAGCCATGCTTCAATGTCACTTTGCTAAGTTCAAGTATTATAAAAGGCTTCTTCTGCCTGTCTCTGAGTTGTTTCCTCTCATGACTGCTAGGCAGGATAAAGGAAGGATAGAGGAAAGCAATATGGTTAAATAGAGTTGGTCTCCTACCCAGTGATAATGATCTCAGGGTAGCTCTGTGTGCCGAGGCCCCAGTTACCACCACTGATGGGCCACTCCTAGACAACACAATACACCAAACAGGACAACACAAACAAGACAACACAAGAAATGGTAATCGTTGAGATTGATACATGTGTACTGTATAAGGAATTTAGTGATAAGATAATATCAGATCCAATCTAGCCTACACATTGCATCAAATATTACAAACATAATGACACCATTGGAATGAGACAGGAGGGAAGCAAGAGGACAGAGACACATGCCTTCTCTTAGCCAGTGGGCTGATTGGACATAATTTGTCTTAGAGATAGAGGGAACCTTTACCATGGTAACCTTTACCACTGTGTGTGTATGTCAATGTATGCATGTGAGAGCTTAAATGTGTTTTTTAAGTTGTGTTAAACGCAGTAGCACATACAAAGGTCAGTGGTATGACTCAACATTGATCTTTCAGTAAGAACGTTTCCCACAGCTACCCCTTACTTGACAAACAGCAGAAAGAAGCAGGCAGGGAGAGAAAGGGATGGAGAGATGAGAGGGAGGAGAGGGTCAGGACATGGTGCCATTTCCAACAGCGTGGGGAATATAACAAGAATACAATGACTTACAAAGGAGCAGAACAGAGAGACACAGGATAGAGAGTAGAATAAAGACAGAATTAAAGAAAATGTAGGATAAATGAAAGGATAAGTTGTTAGATTTAAAAAGAAAAAACAGGGTGGAGATTGGACTACAGCATAATAGGATATGTTATTTACTGTATAACCTTCAACATAAACATTGATGGGATATGATGGTATAGCACCCTTAAACTCAACTCTGGACCTCGAAGCCAGTTCCACTGCATTTTTTCATTGTTCTCCTCTAATCAGGGACTGATTTAGACCTGGGACACCAGGTGGGTGTAATTAATTATCAGGTAGAACAGAAAACCAGAAGGCTCCGGACCTCGTAGGGTAAGAGTTGAATACCCTTGCTATAGCACATAGCACAGTACCACCATTACGTAGGACCCAGTAGCTGAGAGGGTGTATTGTAGAAAAGTCTTTACCTTTTTGCTGTAGCCCTGTCGTTTCTGTCTGGATCCAACAGAGTAAAGTGCGGGTATGAGGTCCACAGGGCAGTCAGCAAAGTACTCACAGCAGGTAACCGGAGACTCGTGGATGGTCAGTGGATAGGGGTTCTCGAAAATGGGGTAACTGGGAAAGGGGACATACAGTTACAGCTCACAGTTTTAGTCCCTATAATGCCAGGCCATGAGACATTGAAACTGTAAGAGAAGCATGCAACAGAATGGAAATGAATGAAAGTACAGAATCTAAGCTAAATCTACAGGGATAACATACTACCTGTCAGTTAGTAATAACTGTTGTATTTTAAATGAATAGGAACATTCAGGAAGTCCGAATAATACAGTAGCTACATCTTTTATGTTAATACAGCATGTTAAGTACATTAACATGCACTCAGACGTACCCATTTTGTGCAAGGTCGATTACTACTAAATCCTTTTCTAGAAGGACCACTACGGCATAAGGTTCCTGAAAATCTGCATGGAAAACAAACAACAAAAAGTAAGATATAGGTCATTCATCAACACAATATGTAGGGTATATTCTCTACAGATCTTCTCTGAAATCTACAATTCCCAAAGGACATGAGTGCCTTCAAGATGTTGACAAAATATATGAGCTTGAGGCTTGGTACAGTAGGGATATATAGTAACATATTTAAAGCGTATCTCAATATTAAACTGAAGATTAGTTAACATCCCACTGGGCACAGACGTCAGTTCAACGTCTAGTTTTGATTTACATTTGGTTGAGTTGTCAACTAACATGAATTTAATGAAATGTAGGTACAAAATTGGGTGAAAAAAAAGAAGAAATGCCCTTATGCTGATGACTTTTTGCCAATCCAATTAGTTTTCCACGTTGATTCAACGTCATCACATTGATTTTTGGGGTTGAAATTATGTGGAAACAACGTTGATTCAACCTGTTTTTGCCCAGTGGGATGTTTGATTATGGAACATTATTTTGCCCAATAAAGCTTTGGATGAAAAATAACTGAGCTGAACTGAAGGAATATGGAGGAATACAAACAGACCTGAAATACCTACACATATATTGCAGCACAATAGCAGTATGTTGTTGGAGGTGGTAGGAGAAAATGCAGTGTTATTTTGTTAGCGTCTGGCTGAGATGCAATGGGAGAGTAAATAGCCGTTATTGTCTGAGCCAGAGAGAGGATAGTGTGTGTGCGTGTGGTGTGTGTGTTTGCAGAGAGAACAGTGACTGGAAGCCTGGAACATGTATTCAGTGTCCTCCCTTCCGAGTCAGTGTAGCTACAGCTTGTAAGTCCCCAAAGAAACACATTGTACACCAGTGCAGCCACGACCTTGACAATCAATGTCCCTCCGCTCTGTCTCTCTCCAATTCCCTCTTGCCTTCTCTCACAATCTCCTTTTGTCTGTTAGAATGTCTCAGAAATTCTCTAAGTGTTTTTCATTCTTTGTTGTCTGTGGATGTGTCTGTCAGTCCGGCTGTCCGGCTGTCTGTGCTGCCTACCTATGTCTGTCTTTGTCTGTCTCCCTGCCAGTCTACCATTCTCTTTGCCCATCGCTGTCAGTGTGTCCGTCTGTCAGTGTGTCTGTCTGTCACTGTGTCCGTTTGTCAGTGTGTCCATCTGTCAGTGTGTCCGTCTGTCAGTGTGTCCGTCTGTCTCATTGATCTGCCTCTGATCTTTTCTCAAAAAGCCTCGATTACATAATAAAAGATCAGATGTCCTGTTCAACATCATCCCCCTCCTCCCCATCTTGCACAGTAACAGCAGGTTGAACCAGTGGTGCAGTAATCAGCCCAGTATTGCGTAATCCAGGGTCTCCTAGGTCGCCATAACGCGATGGAATCAAAGCATCCCAACATAAGGTTGGTCGCCATGGTCACCATTACGTAACCATCGCCCGATCGTCTGCTAATCGGTTTCCTCATGCCCCCACACCAACATCAAACAAGACACACACACTTCAAGCTACACACACACACTTTTTGGATGAGCTACATCCACATGGCTTTAGCCCCACATTTTCTGTGGTTAAGATGCATGACGGTCATTTACACATGCCTATCAACATTAAACTGCCTAAGGATAAACATAATTGTTTATGAGGGTGTGTAACAACGGTCAATGTAATAACCCTGTTAATGTTATAACTTTTCTATTTATAATAACTTTTACATTGTTTTATGTAATAAAGCCAGTTAATGTAATAAAATGTTGAACTGTTAACGTAATAACTTTTTTCAGTTTAATGAAATAAGTTATCACATTACATTTGAGTTATTTAGCAATTGCTCAAGGGCACATTGACAGATGTTTCTCCTAGTCAGCTCGGCCCAATGCTCTTAACCGCTAGGCTACCGGTTAATGTAATAACTTTTCTAAATGTAATCCATTTTTGATTTTCAACTTTTCAAAGTGTTACATTAACCGTTGTTACAGACCTGAAACAACGGTAAATGTAATAACACCGATTAAGAGTCGATTGACAATAAATTAATATAAAAAAAATCCCCATAAAAATCTGTCAGTTCAAGCTAGAGATATCTAGTTTTTTGTATGGGCTGCGTCTCAATCCACCGCATCCGCCTCATAGACATTAAAACCAGCAGATAGTGATAGCGCTGAAGTCATCCACGTATTCTTATGGAAAACTCCTGATGGTGCATTAAGCTGGAAGTATTTGAATTTGAAGCATGCCATAGTGCTGAATACACATTTCCACCGGTCTAATGTCCATTGCTCGTGTTTCTTGGCCCTAGCAAGTCTCTTCTTATTATTGGTGTCCTTTAGTAGTGGTTTCTTTGCAGCAATTCGACCATGAAGGCCTGATACACACAGTCTCCTCTGAACAGTTGATGTTGAGATAGGTCTGTTACTGGAAGTCTGTGAAGCATTTATTTGGCCTGCAATTTCTGAGGCTGGTAACTCTAATGAACCTATCCTCTGCAGCAGAGGTAACTCTGGGTCTTCCATTCCTGTGGCGGTCCTCATGAGAGCCAGTTTCATCATAGCGCTTGATGGTTTTTGTGACTGCACTTGAAGAAACTTTAAAATGTATTGAAACTAATGATGGACTGTCGTTTGCTTATTTGAGCTGTTCTTGCCATAATATGGACTTGATCTTTTACCAAATAGGGCTAGCTTCTGTATACCCCCACTTCCTTGTCACAACACAACTGATTGGCTCAAACACATTAAGAAGGAAAGAAATTCCTAAAATTTACTTTTAAGAAGGCACACCTGCTAATTGAAATGCATTCCAGGTGACTACCTCATGAAGCTGGTTGAGAGAATGCCAAGAGTGTGCACAGCTGTCATCAAGGCAAAGGGTGGCTATTTGAAGAATCTCAAATATAAAATATATTTTGATTTGTTTAACACTGTTTTGGTTACTACATGATTCCATATGTGTTATTTCATAGTTTTTATGTTTTCACTATATATCTACAATGTAGAAAATAGTAAAAAATTAAGAAAAACCCTTGAATGAGTAGGTGTTCTAAAACTTTTGACCAGTAGTGTACATCAGAGGCTACCTGGGGCTATAAAGCAGGTAAGATTTGAGCTGTAAAGGGGAGAGGGTACTCCACTGTGTGTTCTCCAGCCAGCCCCTCTCCGACCCAGACATCTCGGCACAAGATGTAAAACGCCATTCAATTGAATTAGGTCTATTCCCACCTCCACTCAATGGGTTCCCATTGAAACACACACATCTTAGCAAAACAAAAACAAAACAAGACACCAAAATCAACACCTCTGTCAGTACATAATGATATAGAGAACAGAACATCTAAATCATCATCATCAATGAAAGCCCTCTCCCAAGGGACATCATCTCACAAAGGGCAGGGCATTCATTTAATAACATAATCAGGTCAGACAGCTATTGTGAACAAGGGAGAAAATACAAACCTAACATTCATTGTACTCCACAATGAATCACGAGCATAAACCTCCCCTGGGATATTTTATATTCATCACACTACTCGCACACACACACATACACACATACACACAAAAACAGAAAGGTCAAATGTCAATGCTGAGAAGGGCTAGGACACAACATATTACCGTCTGGAAACAGAACAACAAAGCCGTCAGTGTAGTTGCTAATTAAACTGATTCCACTCAAACACACTCTGAGGCTTACTGGGATATTTGTAGATAATGATATATAGCAAGCATACAAACAACCACACACACAGGGTGACTGACCGTTAGAGTATGGCGTCTCACAAAGCGTGAGGAAGTCTACGATGGGATAGTCCATCTCCAGCACGGCTGTACTCTTCCCATGCATCACCGTCAGACATGGCCGCCGACCCACCGTGTCATACGACAGACCTCCAGACAGGATCATGAAGGGGTCTCTGTATAACACACACATACCACACACAGACAGATGCAGACATACACACACATTCCACACACACACACCGAAACACACACATGAACAGACACATGAGACACAAGTCCATATGGAAGGCTATCGAGATACCATATTCATCATCTCTCCAGGCATCGTAGGGATGTGTGTGTGTGTGTGTGCGTATCCTTACCCCAGTCTAGTGGTCTTGTACTCCACTTTGAGGATGGGTTTGCAGGGCTCTGGCTTCTTTCCATCCTTGGGCTGCTTTCCTGAAATAGAACACGGACAGGCCACTTTAGTTGGTCAGTTCCATTCTTCATTCCCCTCCTGCTCTCTACTTCGTTCCCTCTCTCCCCTCCTCCTCCCTCTCCTCTCCTCTCCTCTCCTCTCCTCTCCTCTCCTCTCCTCTCCTCTCCTCTCCTCTCCTCTCCTCTCCTCTCCTCTCCTCTCCTCTCCTCTCCCCCCCCCCCCTCCCCTCCCCTCCCCTCCTCTCCTCTCCTCTACTCTCCCTTTTCTTCCACTATGTCCCTGATGCAGCAGTAGCAGCCAGTGTGTGTGCCAGACAGTGATTCAGGCCTGTCCATCAGAGAGAGGGAGAGAGAGGGAGAGATATATTTGTGAATAAATGATAGCTATGTGCACAAAGGCAGTCAACTTAACGGTTGGTCAAATAAGTATACACTAAAAAGGAAGAATGTAATCATAATTTAAAGCAATAATTGACAATTACCTAGCCTTAATTAAATTGCTTAAAGGGAAGCCTTTTTTAATTTCACATAAACCTGTCACACACGTTTTCATAATTGTTAATTAAATACTAAACTGATTATGCATGCAGCAGTGGGAAAAACAACTAATTCTAAACAGTTCCAATGGAATTCTTTCCCCAATATACTGTACACAAGAACAATTAAATGGCAATTTAAGAATGAGGTTCAAAGTTATTTTGCTTTCTTTCACTCCCTTTCTCTTCTATTCCTCTCTGCTGTGTGTGTGTGTGTGTGTGTGTGTGTGTGTGTGTGTGTGTGTGTGTGTGTGTGTGTGTGTGTGTGGGGGACAAAGTCATGTCAGGGAATTTACTGGGAGTAAATTAAACCCTTGCTCACTTTATTTGATCTATTTTGTATATAACGTATGTTTACTTAGTGTAAATTCCTCTGTCTGTATTCTGTCTCTAAATGTTGTCTATCACTTGCAGCCCAATATCACCAAGTAAAATTCTTAGTATGTGTAAATGTATGTGATTTTGATTCTGATGAGAAATGAGAAATGTTGGAAACTGGAGAAACGTTATAAAGACAGGCTGCATATGAAAAGAAATTGGGGTGAAAGGTGTGTGTGTGTTCAAGCTTACCATGTGGGGTGATTGTCTGAAATGGCTTGCCCTGGCCTTTGATGTTCCATATGGTGAGCGTTCCGTCTGAGTGACTACAGATGAACTGCTTGCCCTCATGGTGCCAGGCAACCGAGTGGATCGCCTAGGAGACCACAGGAAGAAGGAAGTGAGGGACAGGAAGAAGAGGGTCACTTAATCACAGTGGGACACCATTTGTACCAGAACCAGGTACAGTTGTACCTCTCACACACATACTGTACACGTATAGGGTTTATCCTATGGCCATACGGTGTGTTCACATGTGACTATTACACCTTAGTTTGGATTATGCTGTGTTCAGCAGATGGCTGTTGTGATGTTAGAGTAGAGGAGGGATGCAAGGCAGAGTTTACATTTGGTTACATCATGTACATCCCTGAAACATGGTAACACCTATCAACCACCTGTGTAGCATGCATTATAAATGAATTCTCCTTTATGATGCATTATATAGCTACAGTACAGTATAAGCATTCATTACAGATCATGGCTAAATACCTATATACCTGTACAATCATAATGCACAAAGGTGGTTAAAAGGTGGTTCAAATGGGAAAGCATTGACAGTGTTAACAAGTGTTATCCCCATTGAAGAGACAAGTAATATCCCCATTGAAAAGACAAGTGTTATCCCCATTGACAAGTGTTATCCCCATTGAAGAGACAAGTTTTATCCCCATTGAAGAGACAAGTGTTCTCTCCATTGAAGAGACATGTGTTATCCCCGTTGAAGAGACAAGTGTTATCCCCGTTGACGAGACAAGTGTTATCCCCATTGACAGAGACAAGTGTTATCCCCGTTGACGAGACAAGTGTTATCCCCATTGAAGAGATAAGTGTTATCCCCATTGAAGAGACAGGTGTTATCCCCGTTGAAGAGACAAGTGTTATCCCCATTGACAGAGACAAGTGTTATCCCCATTGAAGAGACAAGTGTTATCCCCGTTGAAGAGACAAGTGTTATCCCCATTGACAGAGACAAGTGTTATCCCCATTGACAGAGACAAGTCTTATCCCCATTGAAGAGACAAGTGTTATCCCCATTGAAGAGACAAGTTTTATCCCCATTGAAGAGAGAGAGAGAGAAAAAGATAAAGAGTAAGGTCAAGAGAGATTAAAGGAAAAATACATAGATTGACTGACGTACTATAAAGAAGAGAGAAGAGACATGAGAGAAAGAGAGAAGAGAGACAGAGCGAAAGAGAGATACAGATGTAAATAGACAGACCGACAGAGAGAGAGAGAGAGAGAGAGAGAGAGAGAGAGAGAGAGAGAGAGAGAGAGAGAGAGAGAGAGAGAGAGAGAGAGAGAGAGAGAGAGAGAGAGAGAGAGAGAGCACCTGGCTGTGAGGAGGCAGGCAGCATGACTAAGCTAACGACTAGCGCCAAACCTACTACAGCAACACTTCACTGAGAAGAGCTGAGAAACACTTCAAAAACATTCTATTAACACTCTACGAATGCTATACATTTTTTACATAAAAACTCTCCGAACACTATAAACATTCTGCAAACGCTCAAGGTTGGGAGATACAGAGATAAGCTTAGAGCAGAAAACAGACAGATAGGAGTGGGGATGGGGTGGAGTGGAATTATGATGCAGTGGGTTGAAATTGAAGTCTAATTATTTTGTAATTAAGAATGCTCTCCCTCTGCTTTGCATAATCCAAACAGCTTTGTTTCTATTTTGGGAAGGCAGCAAGTGATTTAGCGACCAACAACAGATCAATAAAATGGCTGCTTCATCATTATTAAAGCACTCCGGAAAGGCCAGACCGGCTTACTGCTGTCTTACGGCTCATTATTAAAACTGGTGTGTACACACAGACACGCGGACACACGCACGCACACAAATGCACACACACACTCTCTCTCATGGGCACGCACGCACACACCCACTAGCACGGACACACACACACACACACACACATACACACACACACACACACTCGCACCAATATTGAAATATTTATAAAACATTTCTCAGCAAAAGCATTTTAAGGTGAATATCTCAAAAGGAAATCTAACCACACACAGTGAGTCACTTCAACAGGCTATGGAAATATATCAGTGCATTGTTCAGAGAGAGAGATAGATATACACTGAGTGTACAAAACATTAGGACACCTGCTCTTTCCATGACATAGATTAACCAGGTGAATCCAGGTGAAGGATATGATCCCTTACAGATGTAACTTGTTAAAACCAATTCAATCAGTGTAGATGAAGGGGAGGAGACAGGTTAAAGAAGGATTTTTAAGCCTTGAGACAATTGAGACATGGATTGTGTATGTGTGCCATTCAGAGGCTGAATGGGCAAGACAAAAGATTTAAGTGCCTTTGAACGGGGTATGGTAGTAGGTGCCAGGCGCACCGATTTAAGTGTGTCAAGAACTGCAACGCTGCTGGATTTTTCACGCTCAACAATTTCGAGTGTATCAAGAATGGCCCACCACCCAAAGGATATCCAGCCAACTTTTTATTTATTTAACTAGGCAAGTCAGTTAAGAACAAATTCTTATTTACAATGACGGCCTACACCGGCCAAACCCGGACGACACTGGGCCAATTGTGCGCTGCCCTATGGGACTCCCAATCACGGCCGGTTGTGATACAGCCTGGAATCGAACCAGGGGGTCTGTAGAGACACCTCAAGCACTGAGATGCAGTGACTTAGACCACTGCACCACTCGGGAGCCCAACTGTGGGAAGCATTGGAATCAACATGGGCCAGCATCCCTGTGGAACACTTTCGACACCTTGTAGAGTCCATACCTTGACGAATTGAGTCTGTTCTGAGGGCAAAAGGGGGTGCAACTCAATATTAGGAAGGTGTTCCTAATGTTTTGTACACTCAATGTATGTACAGTATATACTATACAGAGAGAGAGAGAAAGAGGGGGGAGAAAAAAGAGAGAAAGAGACAGAAACACAGAAAGAGAACGACACAGACACACACAGAAACACAGACACAGACACACACAGAAACACAGACACAGACACACACAGAAACACAGACACAGAGAGAGACAGTTCGGCCTAATTAGAGTGCATTCCTCCTATTACGGTGTCACAGTGAGACAAACTGGGCATCTACGTAACGACAGCAGTGTGTCGTCCTTCCAGACATCCTTAGTCACACTCCCTTACTCTCACTAAAGTTCAGCCAAAGTAAATAAACAAACAAACAAACATACTAACAGAAGAGAAACTGTCGACAAATCAATGCTACTCCCCAGGACAGGACATACATACATACATACATACTGTAAGTGTCAACAGATAAAGACCCCTTCAGTAAGACACATATTGACAGGTAGAGGTCTGTTATAAGTCTATAATAGTTTGTGTTAGTGTGTATTAGAGATCTTGCCATTTGTCCTATGCTAGTGTGTGTTAGATGCTCTGTGATGGGGGTTGTCCTATGCTAGTGTGTGTTAGATGCTCTGTGTTGGGGGTTTTGCCTATGTATGTGTTAGTTTCTTTTGTTTGGGGGTTTTGGTCCCTATGCTGTGTGTTAGAGCTTTGTGTGGGGGTTTTTTTCCTATGCTATGGGGTTAGATGCTTTTTGATGGGGGTTTGTCATGCTAGCGTGTTGTTAGAGTTTGTATGGGGGGTTGTCCTATGAAGTGTGTGTTAGAACTTGTGTTTTGGGGGTTGTCCTACTAGCGTGGTTAGATGCTCTGTAGGGGGTTTTCCAGTTTGTGTGTTTAGTTCTCTTATGGGGGGTTGTCCTATGCTAGCTTTTCCTTTTGTGAGGGGGTTTTGTCCAAGAGTGTGTTAGTGTTTTGGATGGGGGTTTTGTCCTTTGCTAGTGTTAGATGCTTTGTGATGGGGGTTGTCCTATGCTAGAGGGGTTTATTCTGTGAGGGGGTTTGTCCTTTGTAGTGGTGGTTAAATTCTTTGTGTTTGGGGGGTTGCCCCATGCTGCGTTGTTAGTCTTTGTGATGGGGGTTGCCCTAGCTAGTGGTTTAGATGCCTTTTTTGGGGGTTTTGTCCTTGTGTCTTGTTAGACTGTGTGGGGGTTTTCCATCTTGTTTGTCTCGTGTGGGGGTTTGTCCTATGCTAGTGGTTTAGATGCTTTTGATGGGGGTTTCCCTAGCCCTTGTTTTAAGCCGTTGGGGGGGTTTTATGCTTTTTGGTTCGATGCTTTGGTGGTGGGGGTTTGTCCTATGCTAGGTGTTTTAGATGCTTTGTGATGGGGGTTTTTGCCAGGTGGGTTTTGTGTTAGATGCTTTGTGATGGGGGTTGTCCTATGCTAGCGTGTGTTAGATGCTTTGTGATGGGGGTTTGTCTATGACGTGTGTTAGATGCTTGTGTGGGGGTTGTCCTATGTAGTGTGTGTTTCCTTCTAGTCCTATGTTAATTGCTCTGTGATGGGGGTTGTCCTATGCTAGTGTGTTAGATGCTCTGTGATGGGGGGTGTCCTATGCTAGTGTGTGTTAGATGCTTTGTGATGGGGGTTGTCCTATGGCAGTGTTTGTTAGTATGCTCATGGTGATGGGGGTTGTCCTATGCTAGGGTGTGTTCGATGCTTTGTGAGTGGGGGTTGTCCTATGCTAGCGTGTGTTAGATGCTTTGTGATGGGGGTTGTCCTATGCTAGTGTGTGTTAGATGCTCTGTGATGGGGGTTGTCCTATGCTAGTCTATGTTAGATGCTCTGTGATGGGGGTTGTCCTATGCTAGTGTGTTAGATGCTCTGTGGTGGGGGTTGTCCTATGCTAGTGTGTGTTAGATGCTTTGTGATGGGGGTTGTCCTATGCTAGTGTGTGTTAGATGCTTTGTGATGGGGGTTGTCCTATGCTAGTGTGTGTTAGATGCTCTGTGATGGGGGTTGTCCTATGCTAGCATGTGTTAGATGCTTTGTGATGGGGGTTGTCCTATGCTAGTGTGTTAGATGCTCTGTGATGGGGGTTGTCCTATGCTAGTGTGTTTTAGATGCTTGTGATGGGGGTTGTCCTATGCTAGCGTGTGTTAGATGCTTTGTGATGGGGGTTGTCCTATGCTAGTGTGTGTTAGATGCTCTGTGATGGGGGTTGTCCTATGCTAGGCCGGGATTCAATCCGATTGCGCTTTCTCGCTTTTCTCAACCCATTGATTTTGTTAGTAACGCTCACTCAGATAATATATTCAAAACTGCACACATTTCTCTCCGCCCCATGGAAAATTGAGTAGAATTGCAGAAAATGTGCTTTAAAACTCTCCGCTGTCAATAATGTTTTACTCGCAAGGTGGGGGGGTCCCCAACAAACATTTCACTTAGGGCCCCCAAAAGGCTAGGGCCGGCTCTGACTGAATGCATGGGTATGAATGTGGGTAAGCAGACCCGCGAGCCTCATTTTAGATTTTTTGTGGCCCCCACCCCCATTAATGTTGCCTACCCTGGTATAGAGCTAAATCTAGTATACATGGCCATTCCTATTGCCAATGGAGATAATACCACGTCTGCCAAGTGTCTTATTAGCACAATGAATTGCTGAATAAATGAATGGTATCTGGCTACTAGAAATAGTTTATGCTTTTTAGATCTCTCAGTGTACGCCATTCAATAGGAGCAATGTGAATTGCGTATATACTGAACAAAAATATTAACTCAACATGTAAAGTGTTGGTCCCATGTTTCATGAGCGGAAATAAAAGATTCCAGAAATGTTCCATACACACAAAAAGCTTATTTCTCCTTTGCCAAGATAATACATCCACCTGACAGTTGTGGCATATCAAAAAGCTGATTAAACAGCATGATCATTACACAGGTGCACCTTGTGCTGGGGACAATAAACATGTGCAGTTTTGTCACACAACACAATGCTACATATGTCTCAAGTTTTGAGGGAGCATGCAATTGGCATGCTGACTGCAGGAATATCCACCAAAGCTGTTGCCAGGTAATTTTATGTTAATTTATCTACCATAAGCCACCTCCAACATCGTTTTAGAGAATTTGGCAATACGTCCAACCAGCCTCACAACTGCAGACCACGTGTATGGTGATGTGTGGTCGAGCGATTTGCTAATGTCAACGTTGTGAACAGAGTGCCCCATGGTGATGGTGGGGTTGTGGTATGGGCAGGCATAAGCTACGGACAACGAACAAGATTGCATTTTATCGATGGCAATTTGAATGCACAGAGACACCGTGACGAGGTCCATTGCCATTCATCTGCCGCCATAACCTCATGTTTCAGCATGATAATGCACAGCCCCATGTCGCAAGGATCTGTACACAATTCCTGGAAGCTGAAAATGTCCCAGTTCTTCCATGGCCTGCATACTCACCAGACATGTCAACCCATTGAGCATGTTTGGGATGCTCTGGATTGACGTGTACAACAGCATATTCCAGTTCCCGCCAATATCCAGAAACTTCGCACAGCCATTGAAGAGGATTGGGACAACATTCCACAGGCCACTATCAACAGCCTGATCAACTTTATGCAAAGGAGATGTGTTGCGCTGCATGAGGAAAATGGTGGTCACACCAGATGCTGACTTGTGTTCTGATCCACGCCCCTACCTTTTTTTAAGGTGCATGTCCCGATGCGACTCCTGCGTTGTCTTGGCTGTTTGCTTAGTGTTGTTGTGCTGTTGGAAGGTGACCTTCGCCCCAGTCTGAGGTCCTGATCGCTCTGGAGCAGTTTTTCATCAAGGATCTCTCTGTACTTTGCTCCATTCATCTTTCCCTCCATCCTGACTAGTCACCCAGTCCCTGCCGCTGAAAAACATTCCCACAGCATGATTCTTCACTGTAGGGATGGTGCCAGGTTTCCTCCAGACGTGACGCTTGGCATTCAGGCCAAAGAGTTCATTCTTGGTTTCATCAGACCAGAGAATCTAGTTTCTCATGGTCGTCTGAGAATCTTTAGGTACCTTTTGGCAAACTCCAAGAGGGTTGTCATGTGCCTTTTGCTGAGGAGTGGCTTCCGTCTGGCCACTCTACCATAAAGGCCTAATTTGTGGAGTGCTGCAGAGATGGTTGTCCTTCTGGAAGGTTCTCCCATCTCCACAGAGGAACTCTGGAGCGCTGTCAGAGTGACCATCGGGTTCTTGGTCACCTCCCTGACCAAGGCCCTTCTCCCCTGATTGCTCAGTTTGGCTGGGCGGCCAGCTCTAGGAAGAGTCTTAGTGGTTCCAAACTTCTTCCATTTAAGAATGACGGAGGCCACTGTGTTCTTGGGGATATTCAATGCTGCAGAAATGTTTTGGTACCCTTCCCCAGATCGGTGCCTCGACACAATCCTGTCTTGGAGCTCTACGGACAATTCCTTCGACCTCATCGCTTGGTTTTTCTTCTGACACGCACTGTAAACTGTGGGACCTTATATAGACAGGTGTGTGCCTTTCCAAATCATATCCAATCAATTGAATTTACCACAGGTGGACTCCAATCAAGTTGTAGAAACATCTCAAGGATGATCAATGGAAACAGGATGCACCTGAGCTCAATTTCGAGTCTCATAGCAAATGGTCTGAATACCTACAGTGAGGGAAAAAAGTATTTGATCCCCTGCTGATTTTGTACGTTTGCCCACTGACAAAGAAATTATCAGTCTATAATTTTAATGGTAGGTTTATTTGAACAGTGAGATTTTTATTTTATTTTATTTCAACCTTTATTTAACCAGGTAAGCCAGTTGAGAACAGGTTCTCATTTACAACTGCGACCTGGCCAAGATAAAGCAAAGCAGTGCAATAAAAACAACACAGAGTTACATATGGGGTAAAAAACATAAAGTCAAAAATACAACAGAAAATATATATACAGTGTGTGCAAATGTAGCAAGTTATGGAGGTAAGGCAATAAATAGGCTATAGTGCAAAATAATTACAATAGTATTAACACTGGAATGCTAGATGTGCAAGAGATTATGTGCAAATAGAGATACTGGGGTGCAAAAGAGCAAAATAAATAACAATATAGGGATGAGGTAGTTGGGTGGGCTAATTTCAGATGGGCTGTGTACAGGTGCAGTGATCGGTAAGGTGCTCTGACAACTGATGCTTAAAGTTATTGAGGGAGATAAGAGTCTCCAGCTTCAAAGATTTTTGCAATTCGTTCCAGTCATTGGCAGCAGAGAACTGGAAGGAATGGCGGCCAAAGGAGGTGTTGGCTTTGGGAATGACCAGTGAGATATACCTGCTGGAGCGTAGACTACGGGTGGGTGCTGCTATGGTGACCAATGAGCTAAGATAAGGCGGGGATTTGCCTAGCAGTGATTTATAGATGGCCTGGAGCCAGTGGGTTTGACGACGAACATGTAGTGAGGACCAGCCAACAAGAGCGTACAGGTCACAGTGGTGGGTAGTGTATGGGGCTTTGGAGACAAAACGGATGGCACTGTGATAGACTACATCCAATTTGCTGAGTAGAGTGTTGGAGGCTATTTTGTAAATGACATCGCCGAAGTCAAGGATCGGTAGGATAGTCAGTTTTACGAGGGCATGTTTGGCAGCATGAGTGAAGGAGGCTTTGTTGCGAAATAGGAAGCCGATTCTAGATTTAACTTTGGATTGGAGATTCTTTATGTGAGTCTGGAAGTTGAGTTTACAGTCTAACCAGACACCTAGGTATTTGTAGTTGTCCACATACTCTAGGTCAGACCCGTCGAGAGTGGTGATTCTAGTCGGGTGGGCGGGTGCCAGCAGCGTTCGATTGAAAAGCATGCATTTAGTTTTACTAGTGTTTAAGAGCAGTTGGAGGCTACTGAAGGAGTGTTGTATGGCATTGAAGCTCGTTTGGAGGTTTGTTAACACAGTGTCCAATGAAGGGCCAGATGTATACAAAAAAAGAGAGACAGAATAATAACAACAAAAATCCAGAAAAACGCATGTCAAAAATGTTATAAATTGATTTGCATTTTAATGAGGGAAATAAGTATTTGACCCCTCTGCAAAACTTGATTTAGTACTTGGTGGCAAAACCCTTGTTGGAGGTCAGACGTTTCTTGTAGTTGGCCACCAGGTTTGCACACATCTCAGGAGGGATTTTGTCCCACTCCTCTTTGCAGATCTTCTCAAAGTCATTAAGGTTTCGAGGCTGACGTTTGGCAACTCGAACCTTCCGCTCCCTCCACAGATTTTCTATGGGATTAAGGACTGGAGACTGGCTAGGCCACTCCAGGACCTTAATGTGCTTCTTCTTGAGCCACTCCTTTGTTGCCAAGGCCGTGTGTTTTGGGTCATTGTCATGCTGGAATACCCACCCACAACCCATTTTCAATGCCCTGGCTGAGGGAAGGAGGTTCTCACCCATGATTTGACGGTACATGGCCCCATCCAACATCCCTTTGATGCAGTGAAGTTGCCCTGTCCCCTTAGCAGAAAAACACCCCCAAAGCATAATGTTTCCACCTCCATGTTTGACGGTGGGGATGGTGTTCTTGGGGTCATAGGCAGCATTCCTCCTCCTCCAAACACGGCGAGTTGAGTTGATGCCAAAAGCTCAATTTTGGTCTCATCTAACCACAACACTTTCACCCAGTTCTCCTCTGAATCATTCAGATGTTCATTGGCAAACTTCAGACGGGCCTGTATATGTGCTTTCTTGAGCAGGGGGACCTTGCGGGCGCTGCAGGATTTCAGTCCTTCATGGCGTAGTGTGTTACCAATTGTTTTCTTGGTGACTATGGTCCCAGCTGCCTTGAGATCATTGACAAGATCCTCCCGTGTAGTTCTGGGCTGATTCCTCACCGTTCTCATGATCATTGCAACTCCACGAGTTGAGATCTTGCATGGAGCCCCAGGCCGAGGGAGATTGACAGTTCTTTTGTGTTTCTTCCATTTGTGAATAATCGCACCAACTGTTGTCACCTTCTCACCAAGCTACTTGGCAATGGTCTTGTAGCCCATTCCAGCCTTGTGTAGGTCTAAAATCTTGTCCCTGACATCCTTGGAGAGCTCTTTGATCTTGGCCATGGTAGAGAGTTTGGAATCTGATTGATTGATTGCTTCTGTGGACAGGTGCCTTTTATACAGGTAACAAGCTGAGATTAGGAACACTCCCTTTAAGAGTGTGCTTCTAATCTCAGCTCGTTACCTGTATAAAAGACACCTGGGAGCCAGAAATCTTTCTGATTGAGAGGGGGTCAAATACTTATTTCCCTCATTAAAATGCAAATCAATTTATAACATTTTTGACATGCGTTTTTCTGCATTTTTTTGTTGTTATTCTGTCTCTAACTGTTCAAATAAACCTACCATTAAAATTATAGACTGATCATTTCTTTGTCAGTGGGCAAACGTACAAAATCAGCAGGGGATCAAATACTTTTTTCCCTCACTGTATGTAAATAGGGTATTTCAGTTTTTTGTTTTTAATAAATGTGCCTGTTTTCGCTTTGTCATTATATGGAAAAAGTCAAGACTGTGATTCATATTCCATTCACCCAGCTCAATGTAACATAGATAGGTTTAGGCTACTACATGATACTTGAATTTTCCCTATACCCATCATGAGGTTGCTACAACCTAGCCTATGAATGAAAGTTTCCAATGTAGGTGCACACAGGTCAAGAGAAAAATTTGAGATGACAGACAGTGACACATGGACAGACAGTGACACCTTCAATACCGCCTTGCACACTCTTGCCTGCATCTAGCTTATCTAGGGTGTAATCATTAGTCTAACAGTTGCAAATGAGAGTTTCTATTGGACAAATTCAGGTATTTTTATCCCGGTTTCGTTTGCTTCCGTTTAAGAAACGTTTTCAACAGAATCGGCTGATTGAATACACCCCGGTCACGCATAAACACAGTTCACTTTCATAGCAGCCACGTTGTATTCCCTCTCACCTTTTCCCTACGTTTGTGGACTTCAATGAACAACACATCAGCTGTATGTGACCAAGGGAAAAAACCTTTCCAAGCCAAACCATGTCATAACCTGTCAAGCCCTGGCTCTGGGGACTCTTATATGTTGAGCCAGGGTGTTAGTTTATATGTGTAGTGTCTATGTTTTGTTTTCTATGTGTTCTTTTCTAGATCGTGTGTTTCTGTGTTGGCCGGGGTGGTTCCCAATCGGAGGCAGCTGTGTCTTGTTGTCTCTGATTGGGAACCATACTTAGGCAGCCTGTTGTGCACTTGTCATTTGTGGGATCTTGTTCCGGAGAGGTTTGTGTTTGTTAACCTTAGGACTTCACGTATCGTTTTGTTGTTTTGATATGGTTATAAAGTACTCATTAAAAGATGTACGCATATCACGCTGCGCCTTGGTCTGCTTCATACGACGATCGTGACATAACCGCTACACACAGCCTACATCGTCCCCATATTAGCTAAAGTAACGTCCTAGTCAAAATAGCTAATAGAACCAATGAGTTAGTAAACCCGCTACAATCATGCAGTAACGTTACAGTGTATAGTCAGTAAGCAGTTACACCGGCGGTCCCCGGTGGCAATAAATTAATAAAACCAAAAGCTTACCTTGACTTGGAAGAGTTCCAGTGTTGTGTTGGATAGTCATTGCCAGCTAGCTAACATAGCATCCCTATGTTTGAGCCGGGTGCTTGAGTAACTAAACTAGCCAGCTGCATTTGCTAGTAGCTAAGTAAATGAAACTGAAAGTTTAAAAAATAACAAAATCTCTCTCTCTCTCTCTTCTCCTTCATTTTTGAAGAAATGAATTTGTTGAAAACTGTTCAACTATTGTCTTTCTCTCTCTTTGAGTCAACTACTCACCACATTTTATGCACTGCAGTGCTAGCTAGCTGTAGCTTATGCTTTCAGTACTAGATTCATTATCTGATCCTTTGATTGGGTGGACAACATGTCAGTTCATGCTGCAAGAGCTCTGATAGGTTGGAGGACATCCTCCGGAAGTTGTCATAATTACTGTGTAAGTCTATGGAAGGGGGTGAGAACCAAGAGCCTCCTAGGTTTTGTATTGAAGTCAATGCACCAAGAGGAGGACGGAAGCTAGCTGTCCTCCGGCTACACCATGGTGCTACCCTACAGAGTGCTGTTGAGGCTACTGTAGACCTTCATTGCAAAACACTGTGTTTTAATCAATTATTTGGTGACGTGAATATATTCAGTATAGTTTTATCTAAAAATGATAACTTTTTCAATGTTTTACAATGTTTATTTTTATGAAATTCACTGAGGAGGATGCCTCCACTGGCACATACACAGGGCACTGAGGTGTGTGAGTTTGCTTATTTACACAAAATGGAGTGATCTCTATCGCTGCCATGATTATTCCAATCCCACTGCTATAACAGCCTTTCAAGTGTGTGTGTGTGTGTGTGTGTGTGTGTGTGTGTGTGTGTGTGTGTGTGTGTGTTTCTCCCATCACACCTACTTGTATTTATTCAGCTAGAGAGGGAGGGAGGGTGGGAGGGAGGTGGTGAACTGAGAGAGAAGGGGTTAAAAGGGAGAGAATGACAAAATGAAAGAAGGAGCAAGAAAGATAGAGAGCGAGAGAGAGATATAGAAATCAGAAACTGGCTCCAGTGTAGGTAGGCTATTCATCAGTAGCAGCAGGATGAGGCATTTAGTCAGACAAAGCAGGGCTGAGGTTACTGATGCTCTCTCCTTTTCCATCTTCTCTTTGGTGCTCACAGTAACTGCACCCGCAGAGATAGCACTGAGCCATGAACAGAAAAAACACTGTGAGAGAGACGCAAGGGGAGAAGGAATGCTCTCTTTGTGAGGGTTGGAATACATACACACTGTGGTTAGGTGTGACAAAAATAGACAGTGTTTTCAGTAATTAGTGAGGGTGTATAAGATGTCCTAACACGACTACAGAAACTTGAGGACAAGGCTACAGCCAGTGTCCTCCACCTCTATGTCCTATTCCCTATGTCCTATACTCTATTCCCTATGTCCTATACCATATTCCCTATGAAGTATACTCTATTCCTGATACCCTATTCTTTATGTCTTGTACCCTATTCCCTATGTCCTATTCCCTATGTCCTATACCCTATGTCCTATACCCTATGTCCTATATCCTATTCTCTATGTCATATACCCTTTTCCCTATGTCCTACAGTATACCCTATTCCCTATGACGTATACCCTATTCCATACTCCCTATGTCCTATGTCCTATTCCCTATGTCCTATTCCCTATGTCCTATGCCCTATTCCCTATGTCCTATGCTCTATTCCCATTCGCTCTATACACTACGCTCTAACCGCCAGGTGACCGCTGGCCATTCCCCTGACAGTGACAGAGTTTCCTGCAATTAGCAACATTTTTCACAAAATACTATTTCCTCACACAACTTAAAGAGTTTGAAGTCTGAGGAACTCCAGACCCTGCCCTTCTGCCAGCCATAACGATGCCAACACTTCCTTTGTCATCATGCCCAGTCTACGCAGCAAAACCACTGATACAGTACCATGATCCTGTATATACATCCAGCCCGGCTTTCAGAAACTTGCCGCGTCATCAGAAAAGCCTGCACATCTATCCTGGTATAAGTATATACTTAGCATTTTAATCCGTTACTTAATGTGTTGGCCAGAGCCCCATCTAGGAACCCAGCGTTATCATAACTACATCTCACCATAGTCTATTGTAAAGAATCTAATGCTATTCTACGCCCTTTAAAACTGGTTAGAGTCCAGCTTTTATGTTTAGTTCTTCACCGCTAAAGTTAAGACTGGGGCATCTATTGCTGATCCAGAATCAGTGATACAATACTAAACAAACATGGCTATTATAGAACCTATGCCCTTCAAAACTGGTTCAGCTCTTAATCCCTCAGGTTTAGACTGACGATCATAGATCTGACCCTGAATCAGTCATTAGTGACAGGTGATGACAGCAGCACATTAGCTGTAATGTCAGAGCATGGCAGAGATGTGAATACTGTGATGTTTTCCCCAGTGTTCATGAGCCCCAGAGTACTGAAGCAGCAGCGGTGTAGAGCAGTAGGTCTCTGGGGAGGTGTTACTACAGGGTTGGAGAGGAGAGAACAATACAGCTGCCAAGGATATTCACTACATAAGTCTTAGGACCAGGGAGAGGAGAGAGAGATATCATCTCACCCAGGGGTGAGGGAGGAGGAGAAAGAGACAAAGAGAAAGAGCGAGAGAGAGAGAGAGAGAGAGAAGAGAGAGAGAGAGAGAGAGAGAGAGAGAGAGAGAGAGAGAGAAGATAGAGAGGGAGAGAAGGAGACAGAACAACCGAGAAGGAGAGAAAGAGAGAGAGAGAGAAGCAGAGAGGAGAGAACAACAGAGAGAAATAGAGAGAGCGAATGCACAAGAAAGAGGGAGCATCCTATTCAGCAGGGAGAGTCACCACAGGGCCATGTTGTCCTTGTGTTGTCACACTGTAAATGCGGTTAACAGTAGCACGGGTGTTAACATAAACTCATTACTGTAAGCCTGACTCTGTCTCTGTGTGTGTCTTTGTAAAGCCACTTGATCCGCTTAAACTTCAACCGCAAGTTTGGGCACCACAGTTTCTGACGCGTTCTTAACTGATTTATTATGAGGCTGGGGATGACACATGACCAAGTCATTATGTGATGTTTGTGTGTGTGTGTTTTTTTTGTTAGTTTTTTTGTTAGAAAATGATGTTACCTTGGAGAAACAAATAAACACTCAAATGGCCGATGCTCTAGAAATTGAGGTCCACAGGCGAGACAGCAGGACATCTATGGTTCTGAGAGACTACACACTGTAGGATTGGGTTCAAAACTATTGTAACTCAGTATGGGTACAGGTACAGACCAAACAGACCTGGTCTACATCTCTAGTCCTCCACAGACTCTAAACCCCTTTGACGTCATCTCTCAAAGGCAAACACTGCATATGGAAAACACACACACAGTGCACACACAGTGCACACACAGTGCACACACAGTACACACACACAGTACACACACACAGTACACACACAATATTCTATTTATACCAATGCAGTTCATGAATATTTGATTCCTCTTTTTGTATTTTCACGCATTTTCCAGATCACAGGAAGAGAGATGCTGAAAGGCATTGTGGGAGATGGTGCCTACCTCGTCGTAAGTGTAGCGGTAGTCTGCTTTCTTAGATTTCAGGTCCCACAAGACCACGATTCCAGCCTCATATCCAATGATAAGCTGGAAGGGAAAAGTGACAGGCAGCCAGTGAGATTTGGCCCGGTGAGGACAGAAAGAATAGACCCATATTAGAGAAGGAATAATACGATCAACATTCCCACGGCACACTGCGGCGGAATGGTGGGATGAAATAGAAGACAAACAGGATACACCATTTATTTGATCACCTTTTGACCTTGGTTCTAAACTGTTAATAACAACAAGAAAATAAAAGTGCATTTTGTTTCATTTTCTGGTTATCGGTTAACCAAACCATGCCTCCCTAAAGTTGATATTATCAACATACCCCAAACAATGGACTATGTATTTAAAGGCCCAGTGCAGTAAAACACGCGAATTTCCTTTGTTTTATATATATATTTACACACTATGTGTCACGGATTCTGCCGAGACTGCCCTTCCTTCTGGTTCGGGCAGACTGCGGCGTTCGTCGTCACCGGAATACTAGCTGCTGCCGATCTATGTTTTATGTTTCTATGTTAATCTGGTTGTTGTCTAGTGTTGCACACCTGTTTCCCATTATGGTAATA